TCTGTGGTCAGCTGGTCAGAGGGAAGCCAGGTTTTGGTTCCGGGGCGTCTAGGCTGTCAGGTTCAGAACTGCGGTCACGTGGAGCGTCCAGCAGGCCCGGCGCTCGCGTGGGCTGAACCAGGGAGGACATCCAGACCTTCACAAGAGTCCGCCGCCAAGTCAGAGGCCGCGGTCTTCTGCAGGACGCGGCCCCCAGCTGTGCCCCAGGGAGGACTCGGTGCTCTTCTCGAGCATCTGAGTCATGGGGGGCAGCCCCACGCGCCCCCTCCTCTGAGTCTAGGAGACACAGCGAAATTTGAAACCTTTCTAGGCAGAATCAGACTAAAATTTTAGATTAGGAAAGGACTTCTGTGTTCATGGGGTCCCCAGGCCCTTTCCTCGGCTCTCCGGAGTCACCAGCAGCCCTGTGGGCGTTTCCGCGGGCTCTGTCTGAGGGGGGAAGCGGAGGGAGTCCTCGGGCCATGTGGGGTTTGCCTTTCCGGCGTTTCCACCACCAACCAGAGGCTGTGACCCTGCAGCAGCCCCAGTGCCCCGGCCTCCCCTCAGGAGACAGAACTGCAGGTCGAGGCGGCCAAGGGCGTCGTTCACTCGGTGTTCCGTTTGCTCTCCTGGGTGTCCCCTTCTCCTGTCGTCACCGGGGCGGAGCTGCCCTCTGCCCTGCGCTCTGCCCGGCGTCCTGATGCCCGGTCCCCATCCCGAGAGCAGAGCCCCTGTGAGCTCGGGGCGGGTCAACCTCCAGGAGGTGCTGGTTCCGGCCGCCCTGCAGGCCTGGATGGAGGGACCTGAGGGGTGTTAGTGATCTCTGACCCAGGGGTCAAAGAATTAAGCTCTGTTTACCAATGACCAGAATCTCTTGCTCGCGGGCTTCTGGGCCGTCACACCGCGGCTGGTGTGAATAATTGATAGGTTGCTGAAACGCGACCCTTGGTGGCAGCCTTGTCAGCTCCTGAACAGCTTCAGGTTAGTGACCTACGTTCCTGTCAGTTATCGGTGGGCAGCAGGTGCCCCTCGGGGAGACGTGGGGACCGGCCTCGCTCAGGCAGCAGGGCCTGGGGAGGGTCCCGGCCCCGGGCCCGGGCCCTGCCTCCCGCGGGGGTCTCTCCTTGGGGTGCTGGCTCGGAGGCCCACCCTTGCCCCCGCAGACCGAGATAAATACTTTTCAGTCATTTAAGACGTTTGGGGGCTGAAGCCAAGGAAGGAACAGACCAGAAAACAGGCATTTTTTCAGGTCATGGGAATCAGCCAAGGGGGCTGTGATCATCGCCGCATCCCGTGGAGCCTCCCCCGGGCACGGAAGGGGCCACGAGAGGCAGGCTTCCCTCGGGTGTCTGAACACTCCGGGCAGACAGCAGCTCCTCCTCGTACCCGACGTCCACAGCCCCACTCCTCTCACCCAAAGCTTACTGCATGGCCCTTACTGGGTTTGTGCGAGGCGGGCATCTCTTCCTGCGGTGGAGACAGGACCAGTAACCTGGCAGCCGAGGCTTCGCAGGACCAGAGCACGCGCTGCTGGAGGAGGTGGTGGTTTGATGGCAAACCCTCGGGCCCCCAGGAGCCGCCATCAGAGCGCAGGTCCGACCCCAAACCAGACCCTGGGCCGCCCTGCCCACTGCACGGACTGACCTTGCACGGGCTGCTGGGCCGTCCGTGTCCACCCGCGTCGGGAACCGCATGAGTCGTTGCAGAGGCACCGGCCGCCTTCACTGCTGCCCCCAGCACGGGGAGCCCAGGAGCACGTGCAGGGCGCCCTCAGCCCCAGAAACAGGTCATGAGGCCTGTGTTCCTCCGGAAGCGAAGCGCCGGGGCCTTGCGCGTGGGGCCACGCTGTGGTCACAATGGGTGCAGTGAAGCTGGGCGGTAGCAGCAATAACCGCCGGGAAGGCGGGGCCGTTGTTATGCCTGCTGACATGCGGCCAAGGCCCCTGCGCTCAGCTCGTGACGTCGGTTTTAAACACCGGGCTTAAAACTGAGGTCAGGGCAGTTTACGCTTTCCCCGCAGCCGATTCGTTCACTTGGGAATAAAGTCCGCTGAGCAGCTCAGCAGGGAAACCCTCTCAGAGCAACAGGCGGACAGCGTCGTCCGCCTGGAAGCCGCCCACCTCAGACGCTTTGGCCTCTGGGTTCCAGGCTGCAGACGTTGTAGAATAAAAGTCGCCTCAGACGCAGGACCTCTGGGGCTTGTCCTCGATCCTGCCACCTTCCACGTTGTCCCAAGAGGGTTTCCGGAGTGTCCAGCGCTGTCTGAGTAGAGCTGTTAGTGCTCCCGCAGGCATCCCAGCCGTCAGGACGGGGTCGGAGATCGGAGGTCGGCGCGGTGAGCGGGCCTCCTGCTCCTGGACTGCACTCCCTGCCGGGGCGTGGGGTACGGGGCACGCCGTGGGGAAGGCGCTCCCGTGGGTGGTGGGGATGAAGATGGGATGGGGGCTGAAGATGCGGCGGACAGAGCTCATGCCACAGGGTCTCAGGTTAATCCAGTGTTAGAGAAATCTGAGTCAGAAAAGGTGAAGCCGGCTTTGAGCTGGGTTTTCCCTTCTGCGTGGTTCTGCAGAGCTGACATCTGGTAAACTCATAATTGCCCATTAAGCTGACTGTCACACTGGGCACAAGGACTCCCTTGCTGGGCTCATCTGTGCGCCAACTCGAGACCCAGCTGAAAAGCGACTTGCCTCCGTTCACCGGCTCCTGTGTGGCTCTGCCTCCGTCCTGGGCTCTGCTGGAATCTCAGCGTTGACCAGACTTGGCCTCGGCCGTTCCTTCACCTGTCATCCTGCCGGAAGGTGCTGAGGCAGGCAGAGGAGCTAAAACATTTTCAGGTGTGGAGAACTCAGCAGGCCTTAGACCTTAAAAATGGAACAATACATTTCGTTTAGTGCAGGTTGAAGCAAAGAGGGGCCGTTGCCGTGACAGGTAATCCTATAAATCTTACTTTGACAGACACTGTAACGTGCCGGAGGCAGAAACCCATGCAGTGGAGCCTGTGAAGCATTTAAATCACTTTTCTTAAAACGAACTTCATGTTTTAAATAATGGATGTTTATCTCCCAGGTTAAAGCTCTCATGTTCCCATTTTCACTGAAATGGCATATTTTCAAAAGGGTGCAGTTATGCCCACAACCCGCTGCGCTCCACGTGCCACTGCGGCCCCAGCGTAAGTCCTGTGGGAACTTTCCGTCGTCATTTTCAAGCAGTCTGTCCCCCGCCAGGCGGGTGCCGGCCTTGGGGCTGCCCCCGGCACCGGCCACGCGAGGGCAGCTCGTGGCCAGAGGCTCGCTGACGTGGTGTCGCGTTAAATGTCACAGAATGGAGACTGGGAGGAAAGCTTGTTTCTTCATCAGTCTCTGATTCTATTTTTACATTTCTTGTTATGAAACTGTAGGTTGAGTCCAGCATGGGCTACGGGGCTTTAGGAAGTTCGTTAAGTTGGCAAAAGGCTGGGCTCGCACAGCCCACAAGGAAAGAGAAGGCATGTGGGCCGGACGAGCGGGCCTCGGTTTTCCTGACCTTTCCTGTCTGTGTAGACACACGTGTTCGCACGGGAAAGAAACGTTTCAGTTCAAACAGGAGGCGCGCTTTGCTTCTGCAGAATTAAGCCGTGTTAGCAGGGGCCCCTCGGAGTGGGTGGCTTCTGGTGGGTTCTCCGTGGCGCTGGCTTTTGTCCACGTGGCAGACCAGGAGGACAGCGAGTGGACAGGTGGGTCCCCGAGCTCTCTGTGCGCCGCGGGCGCTGCAGGGTCGCTGCGCACAGACTCACGTCTCCACCGCAGCCCCCAGACCAGCTCCGTCCTCTGTGTGCGTCTCGTCCGCCCGTGCCGACACCCGAGGAGCAGGACGAAAGTGCAGCTATTTTCATAGGACAGAAAGAGGCTTGGAACTGTCACAGACAGAAAAAGATAAAAACAGGGTGCCTGACGCATGGCGCTCGTGCTGCAAGCCAGGAAATAAAACCCTCCCAACCGCAGAGCTCCAGAGCAGGTCTGGAGAGCGTGCAAGCGAGTGTGTGTCTACGGTGAGTGCACGTGTGTGCGTGTGCGTGTGCAGACAGCCCCCGGAGCCGGGGCCCCCCTCCACCCGCGCACACCCGTCCGGCTGGAGCTCCTCTCCTGCGCGAGTTCTCCTGGCGTCGTTCGCGGTAGCGGCCCCACTGTCTGTGACACACGGGGCTGTTCCACAGGTGTCTGTGCGGCAGAGAGCGCCCCTGGGACGCCCGCAGGCGCCGGCACTGCCAGGAGCCCCGGGCGGGGAGGCTCAGAGCCGCTGGACGTCCGTCACTTCCGGGGCTGCGGAGCTGGGGGTTGTCAGTCCTGCGCGGTGGCGTGTGGTCTTGTGTCTGTGATGGTGACATCGTGTGGGCTTGCCGGCAGGAGACGGGACCAGACTGAGAGACTCCAGGCCCCTCAGAACGCGGTGCTGCCGGGACTCCTTGTTGGGCCTGGCGCTTGGTGCTCGGTCCCAGCAGCCGCCTGATGCCCAAGCACATCCACCCCGGGGGGCCCAGGGGGCGGTGGGCCGGCCCTGGTGCCCAGCCCCCGGATGCGTGAGCCACCTGTCCTCGTGTGGGACGCTCTCATGAGTACTCAGAGTGTGTGTGACCTCACCTCTCCACTAGCCGAGGCCGGAACAGCAGCCCAGCTCCCGTCAGCGAGGTCTGGATGGCCGGTTTACTGCTGGCTTGAGCCACACTCAGAGCAGCAGGCCGTCGCCTCTGTGGGTTAACAGATCTATAGGGCCCCATGCTTTAACCTGAAGTGTGACGTTCCAGGATTCTGTTGGAGAAGTTGGGTTGAGGATGTGTTGACACCGTGATGCAGGCACGCATGTGCCAGTGTGCACCACACGTGTACATGTTCCCACGTGGGCAGCCCACTGTTCAGAGCCCACACTGGGCAGAGACCCCAGAGCTTTGGGGCACGAGGCATCTCCAGGTGCTCGTTCCTGGGCCTGCGACATTAGGACCTGCGGTGGGGGCTCTCAGCGCCTGTACACCCTCCCTCCTGAACTGGCCCTGCCCCGGAAGTGTGGGCGGTCTGCGCAGGGCGCTCAGGGACTGTCCTCTTCTCCCCCAGCTGCACGGCTACGTGGACAGCGAGCCACTCACCCTGCAGCTGTTCATTGGGACGGCGGACGACCGGCTGCTGAGGCCCCACGCCTTCTACCAGGTGCACCGCATCACCGGGAAGACCGTCTCCACCACCAGCCACGAGGCCATCATCTCCAACACCAAGGTCCTGGAAATCCCACTTCTGCCGGAGAATAACATGCGCGCAATGTAAGCCATATGTCCGCGTGTCCGTGTGTCCTCGGGGGCCAGTGGGAGCTGGGTGGGCCCCGCACGCCTGCACCTCCCCCGACATTTCCACAGCTGGGCCCTGGGTGCCCTTGGCTTAGCACCTGAGGAAACTGCACGAATATTTATGACAGCAGGTTTGTTTGTTTCGGGGTTTCAGCCACTGTGCATGGTGCCGCCTGAATATCTCAGCTGTGGGCGCTCCCCCGTGTCTGAGCACAGTGCCCGTGACAGCTGGAGGAGTGGCTAACCTGCAGTCACTGAGAGACTAGAGAGGGAGCAGTATGTTTGGGACGTGCTTTCGCTGAGAGGGTCTCTGCCGCTGCTGCATGACCGGCCTGGCAGCTCACTTGTTTACCGGTGAATCGACTTGAGGGTCAGTTACCCCCTCGTGTCCGGCGGAGCCTGAGGGCGTGGCTTCGTTAACTGAGCAGCCCTGCCGTGCACGCCCCTCCCGTGTCGTGGGCGCAGCAGAGAAGGAGCCAGTCTGCCCCACAGGACTGGCCTTCTGCATGGGCTTCGGGGGCGGGGGACAGATCCTGAGGACAGTACGTGGATAAGCAAGTTCAGGCAGCCAGTCATTCCCCCAGGGGGTCGGTGGAGCGCCTGGGCCCCCGTGCATGGCAGGGGTCTCTGGGGGGGCGGCGCTGGGCTGAGAGCGGAATGTGCAGGGAGGCAGCTCGTGCAAAGGCCCTGAGGCAGGAGTGAGGGGGTGTCCTCAGGCAGGAGGAGCCCAGGGTGGCCAGGCTGTCCTGGGGGAGAGAAGGTGTGGGCGGTGAGGCCAGCGGACCGCGTTCTGTAGGGCCTCATGTGGGATTTGACAGTTACTTGTAACTGTTATACTCTCTAAGTTGGAAACAAAGGGAAAGGTTTCTCTCCATGCCCCTCTTCACGGACTTGGGGGAAATCACTCTGAATCCTTGGGTTTGCTTTTGGGACTGCGGAGTCAGCTTCCCGGGCCAGGATGCGGTCAGGTGGGTCAGGAGAACCTGCCGGTTTCCGCACTTCAGTGACTGCGTTTTCTCCACCAAGACCCTCCCGCCGGGAGCAGCCCCTGCCCCGCGCTCCGGAGGCGGGGCTGCGTGCTGGGATGCCGCCCCGGCCTGCTGGGGCAGCGTTTGTGTGGCCTCTTAGCTTCTGACGGGGAACGGGCTGCTTCCATCTGACTGTTGTTCTGGTGCTGAGTGGAACTGTCAGGTTAAACAGAATTAAACGAGGTCGTGTGAAGCCCTAGAAATTTCGTGATCTTGACCCAAGGGAACGTTGCCAAAATCTTGAGTGAAAGAGGTTTTGGGAGCCGCCTGGAGGGCCCCAGCGGCCCTGTTGGTGATGTCCACGTGGGTCTAGCCAGAGCCCTGAGCGTGCGGGCAGCTCTCTCCAGACATGCTCAGACTGGATCAGGGCGCGAGGTCCTGGCTGGTCCCACCAAGCCCTTCAGTGAGCGGTCGTCCGGGACGGGCGGGGGTTCGGGCAGAGGGAGCGGCTCGGGGGTTGAGGAAAAGCGTGGACTCTCATTTTGGGCAGCATCGACTGTGCTGGGATTCTGAAGCTCCGGAACTCAGACATCGAGCTGCGCAAAGGGGAGACGGACATCGGGAGGAAGAACACCAGGGTGAGGCTGGTCTTCCGTGTCCACATCCCGCAGCCCAGCGGCCGGACACTGTCCCTGCAGGTCGCCTCCAACCCCATCGAGTGCTGTGAGTAGCCGCCCCGCCCTGCCTCCCTTGTGACTCCAGGCCAGTCCGACCGGTCGTGCCCTTTCCAGGAACAGCTTTCTTGCTATGTGCGCAACCCTGTGAACTGTGCTTGTCCCACCAAACATGGTCGTGGACGGTATCTGTTCCTTCCTGCACTGGTGCAGGGCCTCCCCCACCCCAGCACCTGCTGGAGGGAATCGAGGAAAGGAAGTTTGTTCCCAGACAGTGAGCCCTGTGTGTTGATCGCATTTGAGTTAATCTCCCCCCGTCTCAGGAGACTTGAGAAAGTGGCGTTTGCGTTGTGGTCTGTCGGGTTGGGCGGTCCTGAATTTGCCGGCTGGCGCAGAGCTCGGCCCTCCATCCCCTGTGTGGACCTGCCCAGGTGGCTCTGGGCCTCTGGCCTTGGGCTTACCGCTGGGCTCGTCTGGGTGGTCGGACGGCCAAGAAGTGAGGTCTGCCCCCTTCCGTGTTAGCAACGTGGGTGGCTGGTGCCACCCTGGGCAGAGACCCGTGGCCCCGCTGCAGCCCCTGCTTCCCGACCTGGGAACCTGACTGTCCCCTGGCCACTGCCCCTGGAAATGCCCTTCCGTCTTCTCTGAAGGTCCCCTCCAGGGTGTGGCTGTCTCAGGAGCTCTGACCCTATGGCTCACCCGTCTCAGCGGGAGGGTCCTGCTTTGGTCTCTGTGCCTCTGACCTGAGGGCCCGTTGGACCTCGGTGACCGGGCCCTTCCTGCCCCACAGCCGCTCCTCTGCGATGGTGGCCTTTGCCTCACTGCCCCGCCTCCCCCGCTCCTGCTGGACCCTCACTTGCAGACTCCAGATGCCCGTCCCAGGCCATGGGGCCTGCAGCAGTGGCCTCATCTCTGCTGTGTGATCTCCTCCTTCCTCCAGCTCATGGGTCCCTTGGTCATGGGGTGACCATGTGAGGGCCCCCGGCACGTAGCCAGCCCACAGAAACACCGTCCTCACCACCTGCTTCCGTGCAGACTTCTGGTTGCTGCCTGCATCTGTGTCCTCTGCCTGTCCTGCCTCTCGCAACAGCCCGGGTTCTCGGAGCCTGTGTGTCTGCTGCCCCCCCACCCCCGGCCCTGAGACAAATCCATCCTTGGACGGGCCCCCCGCATCCCAACCTGCTCTCTGGGATCAGCCTCATGTGCCTCACTCCCAGAGACCCCCCCCCCCGGCCAACACCTGGCCCCACGCCCCTCCTCCGCCAGCACCCGGGGGAGGGCACTCCCCGTTGCTTCCAAAGACAGCAGCCCGTTCCCCCAGTGCAGGGGTCCAGGTGGGGAGTTGGCTGTGAGTCTCCGCGGCGGGCTCTGTCCTCACGGGCTCCCGCGGCTTCCCCGGGCCCTCCACGGGGCCCACCCTCGAGCGGAGGCTCACACACAGGCTCACACGTGTGTGCACACGCACCTCGGGAGACCTGCGAGTCAGACGTGTGGCTTCCCTTGGGCGTCGCCCCTCCCGGGGCACGTCGCCACACTTCCGTTCCGGGTGCAAGTGACTGTCGGGGTGGTCGGCGGTGCGGGCCGGCTCACACGCACGTTCCTGTCCCCACACAGCCCAGCGGTCAGCCCAGGAGCTGCCCCTCGTGGAGAAGCAGAGCGCGGCCAGCTGCCCTGTCCTCGGTGGGAAGAGGATGGTCCTGTCCGGCCACAATTTTCTGCAAGACTCCAAGGTCATTTTCGTGGAGAAGGCACCAGGTATTTTCCTTAAAAAACCAACCGGGTCCGCTTTGGGCGCTGGGGGAGCCGGCTGGTGGTGTGGGCACAGGTGGGCCGTGTGACGCTCAGGGTCCATCGTGGGTGCTGTGCAGGGTCCTCGGGTCCATCACGCGGTGCCGGGGGTTAAAGGGCCTGTAGGTGTGGGGCCTCCAGGAGGCCACTGTATGTGGCGGGGCAGCCCCGGGTCTGCCCGACCGGGCGGGCACCTCCGCCGTGGGTCCCGGGCCAGGTCCTGCTGCCAGGCCTCCCCGTGTGGATGGCAGTTCCCATTTCTCAGAATCACAGGCTGTCGGGGACAGGCGTCCAGACACAGAGTGGCCACGGTAGCCGCAGGGGTCCCTGCAAGATCTCACCCTCTGGACGAGCACCCCCACCCCAGACACACAGGCGGATGCTGTTGTTCTTTGTGTGACTGGTGGTCTCCGGGGTCCCAGCTGCTCTGAGCGTGTGCGTGTGCACTCTGCGTGTGTGCTCGGAAGAGGGGGCTGTAGGTCTGAGGGGCCTTTTTCTCTGGTGTCTGGGGCCCCAGAGCGATAAGCCTCGGGTCGGCTGCAGGATGGATGCAGCGGGAGCACCGCTCCTGCCCGGTGGACGCCTGGCCTGTGCCACGTGGGTAGCAAGTGCAGGAGAGTGTGGGCCCCACTTCTCTCTCAAACTCTGGAGTCTGTTTTCGGGGCTGATTCCATGCAGGGAGCTGGCCTCCGCCCACACAAGGGTGCAGCTGCCCCCCAGGCTGGGGAGGGGCCGCATCTGGTAGCTTGTTTCTTGTCTTCACTTTCCTGGTTTCTCGGGAGCGTCAGGGCTGGACTCGTGCTGGTCGCTGAAAAGCGCGGAGGCACTCAGCCCCCATAATGGGGTCTTGATTTTGTACAGTTTGCAAGAAACTTAAGCACTTCAATCAAAATGGGCTTAAAGGTCCTTCACGAGTAACCTGGTCGGCCTGTGCAATTGTGCATATGATTGGAAAGTACACTTCAGATGATGGCTGGACCCCGACTGAGTGTGAGGTTAAGGGGGTATTTGTTACTGCAACGCCCTTCTTTGGAGGACGTGAATTTTGAAATAATTTAACCTTTTGTGCATTAAACGTGTGTCCACCTGCATGGCGGGGAGGGAGGAAGGCCCGGCGTCCTCACCGCGCACTGGGGCGTCACAGAGCCGGCGGGCTGCCCTTGCTGACTCACAGAGGAGATGCTGAGCGGCTTTCTGTGCTGTTTCTGAGACCAGTCAGCACCTCGGGCCCAGGACAGGGCTCAGCTGGTGTGGTCTGGTCATGGGGCCTTCACTGTGGCCTCGCGGGCGCCACGGGCAGGTCAGCCACTCGCCTGCAGGTGCAGGTGGGACTTGCCCTCGTCCTCCCCGGGGCCCTGGCCACACGCAGGCTGTGTGCCGCCGTCTGGGCCTGTCGTCCGCTCACCCTCTCCTGCAGTGGAGCCGCGTCTGGGGGGCAGAAGGTGAGAAACCAGCGAGCGGGTGGTGACCAGACGCCCTGCAAACACGTGCACCGAGACGAGCGAGACGTAACCCCCCAGCCAGGCCTCTGGGCGTCCTGAGACCCCACGCTCGCGTTTAACGAGGCCACATGCGCCCTTGAACATGCTCTGTGTGAGTCCCGTGAGCGGAGACGGGGGAGCGGAGGCCCCGCCTCCTTCCTGTCCGTAGATTCTCGGCAGAGCTCACACACCTGACACCTTGACGGCCTGTCGCTGCCGCTGGGCTTCCCCTGGTGGGTTTTCAGAGAAACCGCTATGGACAGTTTGGATTAAAAGCACAGCTGTGCTCTGGGCATCCGACGGGGCCGTCCGACCCGCTTCGCAGCGCGGCCAGCGGGTGAGCGGTGAGCTCTTGTCTCAGGGCTGCTGGCCTGGGCAGACATCGCCCCATGGACAGGCCTTGGAGCCGCTGCAGGAAGAATGGGGCCTCTCTGACCGCCGCCACATCCGACACCCCTCCACCGCCCTGGGCAGCGGGCAGAGCTTTTATGAGCTTCTTGGTGTGGTTCCTCCTGACTAGAGGACTGGCCGTCACCTGCGTCCCCCTCACGGTGACTGAGCAGGGACCCCGGCCACGAGGGCGGCCCCAGGAAATGGGAGCAGACCCCCCCAACGTCGGCCGGTCCCCCAGGGGTCAGCCGAGGCCGAGGGGAATGTCCCGAGGAGCAGCTCTCGGCTCGGCTGCGTGAGGGACGGGCATCCCCAGACGTCCGGTGGTTTTTCTCAGGTCTCTCTGTGTCCAGCAAGAGGCCCCAGCGTTGAAGTAGCCGTTCCTTCATGGACTCTTGTCGACGGTTGCGGCTTCTGTGTCAGACGTTGTCTCCAGGTGGATTCTGTGTGCGTGGAGACCGGTCATGCCCTCACCAGAGGGTCGTGTGCCCAGAGTGTCGGTCACCCCGCCTCCCACTGAAGACCTGTGGGTCTCCCCTCAGATCTGTGAGTGAGGGACACATTTGCACGTGCATGTGAATGTCTGACCCAGCCTGACACACACACGGCAACACCAAGAAAGCGGCTACGTGGGCACCAGCTCACTCTTCTGGAGACGGGAGAGGAGAACATCACCAAGTCCGTGACGCTGGCGCGGGAAGTCGCTCTGTCCTTCAGTCTCCTCACCTGTCCTGCGCAGCTCTTGGAACCTGTGTGAAGCCTGTTTTGGCTTTTCTGCTGCACAACAAGTCCCACCAGAACTTGGAGGCTGCGGCCTGCAGCACTTCGTCTGCCGACAGTGGTGGGTGGCTGGGCTCGGCCTCTGGCCATCCCGTGAGCTGGCAGGTCAGCTGGGGCCGGATGGCGGCCTTCTGCCCGTGTGCAGACCTCCCCCAGCTCTCCTCGGCAAGGTGACGGCATCCTGCGTGGGTGCTAGGCCTCCGCCTCGGGTGCTGGTCTCTAAAGGGTTCCTGGAAATCCCCCGGAGTGGACGCTGCGGCTGGTGTGTGCCTCACACCCAAGGGCTGTGACTTGGTCCTGAGACGCGCTGTTCAGACTTTCCTGGCGCTGACCTGGGAAGGGGGGTGGGGGGTGCAACAAGCGTCCACATGGACAGCTGTCGTCACCCCACCACGCCCGCCATCTGGGCAGCTGACCTCCGCAGGTGGTGTCCTAGGGTAGCCCTGGGCTGAGACCCCTCTGTGAGGGGCTCCCAGGGGGGCGGCAGGGCACACCCACAGCGGGCTGGCTGCGTGGGCACCAGAGCCGCTGGTCCCCGGTAGCCCCCGCCTGGGACTTACCCTGGACGGGCCGTCGGGGAGAGGGCACTGACCCCAGTGAGCAGAGAGCGGCGGCTGGGTCCCTCTGTCCTAAGAAGGCTTTCCCTCACTTTCTGGCCTTGGAGCTGAGTGATCAGCCCACAAGTCTAAGCTAAACGACACTTCGGACCGTCTGGGAGGAGACCGGGCTACCCCGGCGCCCGTCTGCGGGGATGTGCAGGTGGGCGGGACCCTGGCAGGTGAAGCAGGTGCTGCTGGGGTCAGCAGGGCCCCGGCCTGCCCTTCTCCTTCGGCCCCAGACTCTGCCTTCACTGATGTCCAGGAAGCACCCTGGCCCCTGTGAGGGACTGCCCGGCTTCAGGGACTTGCACTCCCTGTGGGCTCTCCTTGTGGGTCCAGGCTGGCCTCTGAGGTCAGCGTTCAGGAGCCTGGTGCGGGGACGGGCGCTCATCTTGGCCTTGGTGCCCTCCCTGCCCCTCCTGGGCCCGGGCTGCCCTCTCCCTGTGGGATATGCAGGCCCAGTGTCCTGCCCACGAGAGGGCTGTCACTGTAGCTCCCTCCCTCGGTTTGCCCCAAACCCGCCCACCGTGCATGTGTCCTCCCCAAGGGCCGTGCAGAAGGTGGGCTGGGGCAGGCAGCCTGGACAGGGGGCGCCAGGCTCAGGAGGCCCCCGCTTCCACGTGGTGGTGCCCACGCAGTCCTGTCGGGCGATTCATTTTCATTTTTCGAGTCGGCTTTCCAGAGGTGTAAGTCGCTGACCTCACGTGCCGCCCGTTCAAAGCTTGGAGGCTCCGGTGCGTCCAGAGCTGTCGTGCGTGCCCCAGGGCGTCTCCTTGCCCCGAGAGGAACCTGACCCGTTAGTGTCGCCCACGCCGCAGCTTGGCAGCATAGCCTGCTCTGTCCGCTCTGCTCGTCGGCTGGGAGCCTGCGTGCCCGTGCCCGGCTCCCTCCGCCCGTAGGTGTCAGGTCTGTCCACGCGGAGCGTCAGGGCGTCGCCCCTCCGAGGGCTGGTAGCCGCCCCACCCCTGCCCCGCGTGGACAGAGCACATCCTGTTTATCTGTTCAGAGTGGATGGACACCGGCGTCATGTGTGATGCTGCAGTGACTGCCGTGTGCACACGTGTGTTCCTCCCCTGGGCGCACACCTGGCACCCGTGTCTCCTGGGCCCTGGGGTCTCCACCTCCACCCTGGGAGCCTCGGCAGGCAGATAGCTTGCCTTGCCCTAGAGGCGCGTCTCCTGGTCCGTGTGGCTCAGAGGGTCCTGCGTGGGGTGGGGTTGATGAGGGAGGAGTGGATGGGAGATGCCGCCTGACACCTGCCCTGGCCCTCCCCAGGTCACCCCTGGTGGGTCTCCACCTGCTCACACCTCCTGTGGCTCCCGGGGTCCAGCCTGCAGGCCAGGAGCAGACGCAGCAGGGACCCTGCCTCGTGGGGCCAGGGGAGCAGACGTCTGGCCTCAGACGCTGGGGCTCTTCCTGAAGGAGGCCCTGCTACGTCTCAGTCCTCCCGTCCGGCCCGTCAAAGCCTCGCCGTCAGTGCGGCAGGAGGGTCTCAGGAAGGGGAGCCCGCTCGGCCCCCTGCCGCACCCGCGGAGTGAGAGCAAGGACCCGCGGCCCAGAGCCGCTCCGCCCGCGGCCTCGGCCCGCGGAGGAAGCCTCCTGGCGGGTGTGGCGGGGAAGCCTTTCCGATGACTCACGCGGCAGGGAATTCCCTGATGACTTGGAATATTTTTACTTCTGGGCTTGTGCACAGTTTCCTACTGAGAAGCCCAGTGAGCGCCTGATAAGGAGGCACACAAAGGCCTGTTTGGGGCTGGCCTTCCTGTCCTGTCCCTTCCCGGGGAGGCCGGGCTGCCCTGGGCGGGTGTCACAGGACGGGCGCCGGAGGCTGGAGCTGGGGGGGTGGGCCTGTAGTCCCAGAGCAGGCGACGATCAGCACCTCTCCCTGCTGGGGCCCTGCCCCGTCCCTGGACAAGGCCACGTGTGCATTCCCGACCGTAGAGAGACGCTAGCCTTTAAGAGTCAGGCTCCGTTTAGGGTCCCTGAGGCCCGCCCTCTGCCTGGAATCCACCCTGGAATAAAGAGGCCAGGGAAGCTGGGGCCAGAGCCCCCACGCCAGGGTGGGCGGGAATGCAGGGAGCGGGGGCTCTGGGCACCTGGGGCTGAAGAGCCGGCCTGAGGGGCTTCGCTCTCGGTTGGTCTAGGGCCGGAAGGATCTGCGCCTTCCGGAGCCGTGAGGACCCGGGAGCTGGCGCAGCCGGCAAGGCCTGGCCCGCCCGCGGACATGGTGCATAGTGGGATCATGTGGCCTGCTGGCCCCTGGGCAGGCACCCCAGGACGGCATTCCACAGGCCCAGGACGCCCTGGAGGGGAAGGACCCTGTCCCCCGGGGGGCATGTCCTCAGCACGCACGCCCCGCCACCCCCTCCACGACTGCATTTCCCTTCGTTTTCGCTCCGTGGGTGAACCTGCCAGGCGCTCCCGGGAGGCCAGTCCAGTCTCCGGCCCCTCCTGGAGGATGGGCAGTGGTGGACACTGGGTGCTGCTGGGTGTCCCTGGCCCCTCGTGGGCCTCCGTCTCCCCTCTCCTGGGCAGGTGCTGCCCTCCCCCATTCTGGCCAGGGAGGCCTGGACGCTGTGGAGAATTCCGTCGTGGGCTGTGAGCTGTGGCTCTGCCAGCCTCTGTCGACAGGCAGAGAAAAAGCAGCTGTGTGGTTTTGCCCCCAAACTTCAGGTTTTAACACTTAAGCTGCTCAGTGGGGGAGGGACAGAGATCAGCTCTGTCATCCGAAAACGTGCTGTTTCTAAAAGGCATCAGGGAGGGGAGAGAGGTCGTTACAGGCGGAGTCGCTCTGATTTCCTCAGACACGTGGCGGGGGAGGCGGGGCATCAGCACATCCGGGCGGGTCTAGGCCGCGGGCGCGTCACAGTGGCCCCGGGGGCCCTGGGGTCCGTGGGCACCGGGGCCGGAGTCAGGGTGTTCTTTCCCCCGGGCCCCGAGCTCACAGGGGAAAGTTCGCCGCTTTGTAGACCTCGCGATGCCTTCGAGAGCAGCGGGCTGTTCTGTGGGTTTCCTGTTGTTTTTCCCAGCGGAGAGGTGGTGCAGTCTCTGGGCCGTGGGGCCCTGCTTGCCGTGGAGTGGGTCCATCTGGCAGATAACTCGCGCGGGGACCTCGGGCGTCCCGAGAGGCCGGTGTGGTCCTGGCGCCTCAGCCTCCCCGTGACTCATGCTTCCTCCCCGCTCCGCCCTCCAGCCCAGCCAGCACCGCCAGGGAGAAAAAGGAGATCTTGTCTAATTTATTTATGATTTAGGGTTTGTAACACACGTAGATCTCTTCTTTGCAAACAGAGGATCAGGACACTAAACGTATCCATAGCTATAGTGACTCGTGTGGGGAGCTGACTTCGCAAAAGATGGAGAGGAAAGAGGCCTCCGTCGGAGACTGACGTCTGTTCATTCAAAATAACGGCCAAAACCAGTCCCCCGACAGCGTGCCTGCCAGAGGGTTTTCCAGACTCTGGAACGCGCTCCCTCCGTCCCAGTGAGCGTGGGTTCCTGACCTCGCCCCCTCCAGGGCCCGAGACAGTGTGCCCTTTCTTTCACTGGAGGCTTTTCATTTTTTCAAAAATGCAAACGGCCACTGGGGTAAAGTTAAAAATACCTTGTGTTTTGCATTGGTGGATCCTGATGTGGCAAGGAGCAGACACAGGAGGCGTTTTCTTCCCCACCCCCGGCAATTCCCTGAGCAGAGGCAGGGCCCGTGGCCCTCGCTGCATCAAACAGCTCTGCGCCCGGAGTGCGTCGTGCGCACTGTGGGCCGGAGCCGCTGGGGCCGGAGCCCGACCCAGACCCGGCCCACGTCCCAGCACGGCGCCCCTCTTGCTGGGGTTACCCGTGTTCCTCCAAGTGTGGACACCCTTCCGCGGCTGCGCTGGGTAGGGGGCTTCTGCAGAGCAGGGCTCTGTGGGCCCCTCCAGGCACCCTGCTCTCACGTTCTGGATTTGAGCTTCTCCCGACTGGCTCTGGCGTCCACTCTCCCTGCTCAGCATGCACAGCAGCCCACCTGTGCCAGCAGGCGGCCCCCACGGCCAACCAGGCAGGGGAGCCTCTCACCAGAGGCTCCTGCGTGTGAGTCCTGTGTGCCTGCGTCCGGGTTGTAATTTCAGGTGGTGGCCATCAGGACGTGAGTAACGGACTCTCCCTCCCCTTCCTTGCAGACGGGCACCACATCTGGGAAATGGAGGCGAAGACTGATGGAGACCTCTGCAAGCCGGTGAGTGCGGCCCTGGGGTGAGGGGGGAGACGTGGGGCCCGGGGCCTCCTGACCACAGTGGCGGCCTCCTGGCCCCAGATACCTGGCTTCTCGTTTGTTGAAATGAACCGACTATAAAAATAACGGAGTAGGGGGTAGAAACGATGGAGGAACAGTTCCTGAAACGAGCGCTCTCAGGATGGAAGGTGAGGTGAGGTCTTGGACATGAGTGACCATGGAGGACAGGGCGCCATGTGGGTGGCAGGCCTCTTGCCAGGGGGCGCGGGGGCACTCGCACGCCCGGGGCTGCTGTCGCCATAAGCTGCCTTTGTTACCAGGGCCCCCCCCACTGGCCGCTGCCCCCTGGGGGACGCTGTGTGAGCCCGTGGGTGCCTCCGGGGCCGCCGGCGTCCGGGGCCGTGACGCCTTTGTTTGTCCTCAGAGGGCGGCCAGGCCCCGGGCCCCAGTGGGGTCTCACCTGCCAGCCAGGGTGCCTGC